TTTTGGTTGCAGCCATCATTGTTGTTTGGCGGGCCCGGCTGGATTCGAACCTGCCACCTTAGGTGTATGTGGCTGGCGCCTTAGCCACTTGAGCTATAGGCGCTGAGCCAATGCCCAGCTATTTTTTAGAGAGGGGATCTCACTTGGGCTCAGGCTGGTCTTAAACTCCTATGTTCAAGCCATTCACCCACCTCAGCCTCCCAGGGTGCTGGGATCACAGGTGTGAGTTACCTTGCCTCGCCTTACAAAATATTTTTAAAAGCAAGTGCAGAGGTAGCTCACTCACTCCCTAATCAGGATAGAGGATTTAACACTGGCACTATCTGGAATCCAACACAGGCCACATGCTCTAAACATATAACCCATCAATCAGTCTAGGTGATGAAAATTATGTACCTGTGACTCTGAGCCTTTTTTCACTTCCTTTGATGACTGCCAAAGAGGAGTCATAACTATTTTTTTTTTTCTATCTCAGAAACCAGATCTGTATATTTTCTTTAACCGAAATTCAGGTTTGAGCCAGGTGTAGTTAATCCCTGTAATCCTAGCACTCTGGGAGGCCAAGGCAGGTGGATTGCCTGAGCTTACCAGTTCAAGACCAGCCTGAGCCAGAGCAAGATCTTATCTCTAAAAATAGCCAGGTGTTATGGCAGGCACCTATAGTCCGAGCTACTATACTACTTGGGAGGCTGAGGCAAGAGAATCGCTGAGCTCAAGAGCTTAAGGTTGCTGTGAGCTATGACATCATGGCATTCTACCAAGGGTGACCAAGTGAGACTCTGTCTAAAAAAAAAAAAGAAGAAAGAAAGAAGGCGGTGCCTGTGGCTAAGTGGGTAGGGTGCCAGCCCCATATACTAAGGGTGGCAGGTTCAAACCCGGCCCAAGCCAAATTGCAACAAAAAAATAGCCAGGCATTGTGGAGGGTGCCTGTGTAGTCCCAGCTACTTGGGAGGCTGAGGCAGAAGAATCACCTAAGCCCAGGAGCTGGAGGTTGCTGTGAGCTGTGTGACACCATGGCACTCTAGTGAGGGCAATAAAGACTCTGTCTCTACAAAAAAAAAAAAAAAAAAGAAAGAAAGAAAAGAAAAATTAAAGTTTCTGCCTAGACAACCATTTTAAAAACCAGAAATAAGGCTTGGTGCCCACAGCACAGTGGTTATGGTGCCAGCCACATACACCAAACGTGGTGGGTTCAAACCCGGCCTGGGCCAACTAACCAACAATAACAACTGCAACAAGAAAATAGCCAGATGTTGTGGCAGGCACCTGTAGTCCCAGCTACTTGGGAGGCAAGAGAATCGCTTGAGCCCACGAGTTTGAGGTTGCTGTGAGCTGTGACGCCATAACACTCTACAGAGGGCAACACAGACTCTGTCTAAAAACAAACAAACAAACAAAACAGAAATAAGAGAAATTAGGAGTAGCTTTCACTTAATTCCATCACTGGGACTCAATGGGAGGAGAAGAGCACCACGACAGTGAGGGGTATATAGTACTGTGACTCCAAAAAGGTAAGTAAGTAAGAGTTAATATGGAAGAGAAGTTGAGCAGTCTTATAGTTAAGAGCTCAGACTCTTAACTGAACCATATAAATGTTTCATGTACCAAAAAAAGAGAAACAATTGAACCTAAAACTTTATTACAAATGAATAACATATTGAAGCAACTTTGGAAAGCAATATTTTGACCATATATTCTAAGAATAAAAATGAAAATAACTGCACACACATTATACTCTAGTCAGGAAGTGTGTTTTTCACAAGAATATGGGTTACCTACTCTGAAACCATATATAGTATAGGATGGAGGAAATCAGTAAATATACTGAAGGTGGGATGGGACCTAGTAAGGGAAAAGCAGAATGAACCCTGCGGTGATAGATAAGACCTGGATTAGAAACACCATAACCTCAGTTTGTAATATATACACAGACCCAGAGATACAAAAATATTATAGATACAAAAATATTATAGATACCAACATGTATGGTGAACATAAATATATGTTTCTTAGCTCTGTCCATGAAGAAAACCAAGAAACAAGGCTAACTCAGTGGCCATAAGCTTACCTAGTACCTAGATTTTGGCTTCTGAACATCTCCTTCCATGGGTGAGGGCTCTGTGGCAAGTGCAGCACCCTGATGGAATCCAAGCTTAGAGAATAATTCCCTTTACTGAAAGGATTTGTGCCAGCCCTGCACTGTGGCTCATGCCTGTAATCCAGCACTTTGGGAAGCCAAGGCAGGAGGAGGCCTTGAGCTCAGAAGTTAGAGACCAGCTGAGCAAGAGCGAGAACCGTCATCTACTAAAAACAGAAGAAAAAAAAATAAAAACAGAAGAAAATACTTTGGTGGGCCCCTATAGTCCCTCTTGAGGCAGGAGGATCGCTCCAACCCGGGAGTTTGAGGTTGCAGGGAGCACTACTCCAGCCTGGGCAATAGAGGGAGACTGTCTCCAAAAAAAAAAAAAAAAAAAGAAGAAGAAGAAAAAGAAAGAGATCTGTTCTGTAAAATTTCGATTCAGTCAAAAGGCTACACAAAGCAGGCACATAGCGAATGTGCCAGAGAACGGGGGTGGGGGGGGCGGTGATGCTCGCCGACCCGGGACGTTCTTCCAGCCCCGACGCATCAGGGCGCCAGGCTGCAGGAGGCCGGCCCCACCCAGCGCTCACCCGGCCCGCGGCGGCTCCTCAGTGCTGGGTCTGCACCCCCTTGCCTGCGAAGGGCCCCGGGGCCCAAGACTCTGTCACCTGGGTCTCCACAGAGCGAGATGCACCAGAGTCGAGATTTTCCAAAGAAAAGCGATCCAAGCAGAACCTCCCACGCCCCGGCCGCGCCCTCCCGGGTCTCGGGCCCCCAAAGGACGCCCCTGCGATCCAACCCCGCCCTGCGACGGCCTCCTAAGCCCGGGTCCACCGCTTCTCACCGCTAACGCTGGCCCTGCAGCTTCCAGGAAGGCCCCGTTGCCATAGCGATCCGTGTCCTCCCCCGCGGTACCTCCGCGTCCGGGTGCTCTCGGTACAACGCTCCCGACCCGTCGGCGGGAAACGGGAGCCCCGGCGTTGGGTTCCGCCCTGTGCACAGGCACCCAGAGTTACGTGGGGGTCGCCCCCCACCCCCGACCTGACTTCCCGCCGCAGTCAATTAGGGCCTTGAGAGACCTCCTCACGACCGAGCTCCGGGCTGTCGGAGTGGCGAGGTGAACCCAAAGTCAGCGGGACTCCGCCGCGGGAGACGCCGCTCCCGCAACTGGGCTGGGGTTCCCAAGGCGCCGGCTCCCTGAGGCCACCCGGCCTGAAGCCCCAAAAGAGTGACCTGAGCTTGCCCCGTGGCTCCGACAGGCCGGGGGTGGCGGGGTGCGGGGGGCGGTGGGGTGGGGCTGCCACCCCCGGCCTGTCGGAGCTACGAGGCAAGCTCAACAGGCTGCCGTTGGATACGGGGGCAAGGGTGCAGCCGAGACCCCCAGGAGACGAGTTGGTGCAGCCACAGGCTCGAAGGGGACCCCGGCCCTCTCCGCACACACTTGTCTGGGAGAACTGGTGGCCGGTTAGGCCCAGCGAAGGCCCCCAGCTCCAGTCCATCCACAAGCTCCCAGTGCAAGTGGCAACCATATCCTCGGGCATGTCCCCTACTGTTCAAATCCTCAAAAAGGGCTCTTTTCCTTATCCAGTCTACAGATAGGTAAACTGAAGCTAGGCCCTGAGCCAGAAGTAGCCTGTGTTCACCCGCACACCTCCCTCAGGCCTTTTTGCATGGGACCCTGGGGCCTGAAGCAAAACATCTGGGAATCTCTCTGGTAGGGGCAACATATGGTCAGGTGTCATCTCCCTCTGTATTGGCACATCTGGACCACTCCTCTCCATGCCCTTCCTCCCCTCAGCCCTCTCTGCAGGCCTGGACTCCCACAACAAGCTAGTTCTATCTCAGGGCCCACACTTGAGTCCAGATTCTGCCTGGAACCGGCTATCCCCAGCATCTAGCTCCTTGTCCTGCCCCTCCTCTTGAATCTGCCTCCCCAGCCCCATCAGGGCTTGTCACTCCTAAGAGGTGAGGCAAGGCTACCCAGAGGGTAGTGCTGGGGTTGATGGGGCCATGATGAGTACAGTGGATCACTCCAGGAGGAAATGTGCCCACAAGGGTGCCCACCCCTGCCCCAGCCCACCCTAGGAACTGCCTTGCCCCATATCCACAGAGGGGGCATCAGGCAGGGGAGGTTGAGCAGAGCTTGCTGGAGCATGTCTTGGGGCACCCGGAAGGGAGCTGAGACTTGCTGGTTCTGTTTCCTGGGTCCATATGCCTCAGTTTCCTCATCTGTAAAGTGGGGATCTACAAGAACTCATGTGTTTAGACTGAACTGTGTCTCCCAAAATTTGTATATTGAAGCCCTAACCCTCAAGGTAACTGTGTTTGGAAACAGGGCCCTCAAGGAGGTAATTATGATGAAATGAGATTGTGAGGCTGAGCGCCCTGACCTGACAGGACTAGCATCCTTTTTTTTTGAGACAGTCTCAACTGTTGCCTTGGGTAGAATGCCATGACATCACGGCTCACAGCAACCTTCAACTCCTAGGCTCAAGCGATTTTCCTGCCTCCGCCTCCCAAGTAGCCGGGAATATAATGCCCAGCTATTTTTTGGTTGCAACCATTATTGTTGTTCAGTGGGCCTGGGATGGATTTGAACCCACCAGCTCAGATGTATGTGGCTGGCGCCTTAGCCGTTTGAGCCACAGGCACTGAGCTGGGGACTAGCATCCTTATAGGAAAGGGAAGTGAGACCAGGAGTGAGCACACTCAGAGGACAGTCCATTCGAGGACGCCACCTGCCAAGGGGAGAGGCCTCAGGAGGGACTAGCCTGCTGGCCTCTCATCCTGGACATCAAGAGTCCAGCAGGAGAGAAAAATGTCTGTTGTTTAAGCTGCTCAGTCTGCAGTGTACAGTGATGGTAGCCAAACAGACTAATACAGCACATCGTAGGTCAGTGTGTTTGAAACTGTGCCCAAAGCCATTGCCACAGCAGAGCCACATCCTGTGGTGCCCAGGCACAGGACCAGGAAGTGTCAGCTGGGGCCTGGCCCTGAAGCTCTTTCTCTGGAGCCCCCTGAGTTTTGATCCCAGTGCCATCAGCTGGGCACCTCAGAGTCCTAGAGCTGCCCCATGGGCTTGGGCCCAAGGCCATACCTCACTGCACCATCCTCCCCCAGGAAGTCCTCTTGCCCAGGTGCCCCTGCACCCCTAGATACGGGAAAACAACTGGAGAGGGCTGCCCCAGCCACACCCTTTGGCCTCCAGGAAACTGCCCTGCCTTTCAGCACTTCCTACAGTAGCCCCAGCCTGAGGAAGATCCTTCCTCTAAGCCCTGTAATACCCCTGTCCCATGCTCCCTGACTGGGCTCTAACTGGCCCCCTCTTAGTACCGTCAGCTCCCAGCTGGTACACAGAAGAACTCGTGTACCACAGAAGAGCATTTATCTCATTCCCAGAAGTCCAGCACCCAGCTGGTACACACAAGAACTCATGGGTGGAAGACAGGCTGCTTATATACTAGGGTCTTGAGGGCTACCAGAACAAAGAACCTCAACCTGGTATTTTATTCTTTCACAGCTGTGGAGAAATCAAGGTGTTTACCAGGCCACACTTCCTCCAGTGGCTCTAGGAGAGTCCCCCCACCTCTTCTAGCACCTGGTGGCTGCACAGTCCCTGGTGCCCATAGCTGCAGCTACATCGCCCCAGCCCCACTGGGTCCTTATATGGCCTTCTCCTCTGTGCTTCTGTCTTCACTTGCCACTTCCTGGCACCCCATCACAGTGGAGTAGGGCCCACCCACTCCAGTGGACCTCATCTAAACTAATATTACACTGCAACCAACCCTATCCCCCAAGTGTGGTCACATTCTGAGGTACAGAGGGCCAGAATTTAATCCTAAATTTGGGGGACCCCTTCCCCTAGCTCCCCCAGGCCACCCTGCAACCACCCTCATCGCAGTTGCAGAACCAGAGTCATGAAGGTGAGATTCCAGGAGTTAGGCTGTCTCACCCAGCACAGAGCAGGTATCCACAAGCATCTGAATGGCTGGCTGCCTCTGCCCCTGAGTGGCATAAACAAAGAATGGTGGGAGGAAGGCCACAAAGCTACAGCTCAGGGTGCTGGGCATAAATTGACCTGGATGGCCACTGACTTACCACTGGGGGCGCAGAGAGTGACAAGGTCTGGTCCTGACCACCATGACTAATTGTCCTTCCTCTGACTTATGGCCACAGGGTTATGGCGCTGGCAGCTGACCTTGCCATGGAAGGCCTTTCGTGGGGTCTTAATAACACAGGGAGGCCAGACACAGTGGCTCATGTCTATAATCTTAACTCTCTAGGAGGCTGAGGCAGGTGGTTGCCCTAAGCTTACAGGTTCGAGACTAGCCTGAGCCAGAGCAAGATCCCATGTCAAAAAACAGCTGGGCCTTGTGGCAGGCACCTGTAGTCCCAGCAAGAGGACCACTTAAGCTCCAGAGTTTGAGGTTGCTGTGAGTTGTGATGCCACTGCACTCTACTGAGGGTGATGAAGTGAGACTCTGTTTCAAAATAAAACAAAAACATAAAAAATAGCACAGGGATCCTGGACAGGAGGTGTGGGCTGGATATCCTGTTGGGCACCCACCTAAACAGGCTAGAGTGAGTCACTTCCCCTTCAATTTAGGAACACCCCCGTCAGGCCTTCCAGCTCCTGGGCCTTGGGGGCAGGAGAGGAGCTGAGAAGTGAGAGGGGACAGTGGGGGCCAGGATGCCCCTGCTCCCAGGGCCCGGTGTTGGAGACTGCTCTAGGTGGACAAGTGAATGGGCACAGAACTTTGGCCAAATGCCCTGCCAGGGCCCAGGGAAAAATGGACCTGGACAGGGGAGTCCAGAGGGAGATACTTTGCATTCATCCCCATCCTCTGCCAGATGAACCAGGTGGTGCCCTGCAAACTGGGCCACTGAGGGCATGTGGCTGCTATGAAAAGGAGGGGGCAAGCAAGACCAACCTCAACCCATGGACCAGACAGTCCAGGGGCAGCATCAGAAATGCTCCAGCAGTGTTGCGCCTGTGGCTCAAAGGGGTAGGGCACTGGCCCCATATGCCAAAGGTGTCGGGTTCAAACCCAGCCCCAGCCAAAAATTGCAAAAAAGAAAAAAGAAAAAGAAATGCCCCAGCCCCCAGCAGGAGCCATGCCATCAGCCACTTCCCAGAGGTCAAGACCTGGAGGCAGAGTTGGGGCTTCCAGGGCTCCTAGTGTGGACACCAACAAGACGAGGGACACACTCCCCAATGCCAGTCTGAGACAGATGTGCTGTCCGACAGGGGAACCCATAGGGCCCCTTGCCAGGCCAGCCGCCAAGGCCATCTTCATCCAGGGTGCTGGCATCTGCTTTCTGTGGCTTTCCTGTTCACTGCACAGATGGTACCTGTGAGCAGGGGGTGGGTGGTTTGAAGGGGGCTGGCGCATCCCAGGCCCCTTGCGGCACTTTCACAGGGTAATTAACCACCCCTCTTGGGGTAAAAATGAGGAAACTGAACGGAAAGCAATGAGGTTGCACCTCAGCCTCCCTGGCCTCCCTGTATCCCTTCCTTCACCCCACCCTGTGCGCCTTGCTGTCATCCTAACCATGTGGAGACACTGGCCCTATGGCCCTCCCTGCACCCCCAGCAGGAGCCATAGTCTTGGTGCTGAGTCACAGGGGTAGGACATGGGGGACCCTGTGGTTCTATAGTCCAGGAAGGTTGTGCAAGGCCTGGCCCTCCCTGGCTGGCAGGCAGAGATTGGCTGGCAGCCCAGGCCCAATCCCAGGCCCCTGGCCACAGCCCACTGTTGTCCTCAGGCTCTTGAATCTGGTCTATGAAGGCCAAGTGTGCCCAGGAGGACTTTCAGGGACCCCCATGTGCCAGGCCCTGTATGAGGCCATAGCAAGGGGCAGGAGAGTCTCATGACTTCTGCCCCCTCGGC